GGTGTCAACTGAAGTTATTCAAGCTGCACTGACTAAAGATGCTGAGGGGGATGATGGGACGGCGTAAGTCTCCTTATCCTCCACGATCAAGGGTTCGTGGAGTACCGCGTACATCTGCGATGGTAAAGTCTTCAAATAAAAAAATCTAGGTTGTGGAGTGTTGTCTCGTCCTAAAGCATTGGGCTAGGTGAATAAGGTTTGTGTTACGTAAGGTTGATTGATTAAAGTATGAAAATATAGTTTACTCGGAAAGGCGGTGATTCACTCGTCTTTTGGCAGCGGGTAAGGAGCTTGAATTTTATCAAACAAGAAGCCTGTCGTGGATGGATGTGCGCGAGCAATGAAGAGCTTGCTAAGTCCGCAATTGCTGTGATGGAAGGCCGTCAGACTTTTGAGTTCTAATAGGTTCTGTGGTTCGCAGACTCCATGGATCATCGGGTAGAAAGTCTCAAAAACTATCGAAAACCATAAATGGAACACCACACCCTGGGAAGGCCATCAACTTGGAGAGAGAGTGACTACATAGCGATGGCCGCCACAAGCGTGAATTTGTAAGACGACCTCGACCACATGGCTAGGCAGTGAATAGAGTTACCGTCTTTTGGGAATACCAATGAGAACACAATTTGGGTGCCCCACCTTCCTACCCTCAGAAAAAAACGGCAAAAAAGGAACCAACTTTCAAGTTACGGAGAAAGGGTGCATTTCTAACCAAAGTACCAAAAGGACAATTGAGCGTAAAGGGAAAATGCAAACATTTTCGAAGCTAAAGGCACGAATTATTGAGAAAGCCCAATAATTTTACAAGCGAAAAACCCAACAGCAATTATGAATGAAATGGCAGGCACTGTAACTTAGGGGGATTGAGTGCCGACAGGTACGCATTCACAAGTAAAGGTGAATCCAAGGCATATGACGGTGGAGAAAAGTCTGTGGGATTCCGAGTGGAGATTTATTACCTTCTACTCCAGTTAATAAGTAAGTTGGAGTTATTTGGGCAATTTTATGAAATTACCAAATGATAATAACATACCAGAACTTGTTGCATTTATGAAATCATCAATTTATGCGCCGTGGAATCAATCGTATGAACCCGACTTTGTGAATAAGGAAATGAAGTTTACGATAAATCCTTTTGCTCAAGTAAAACTGACAGCCCCTCCTAGAAACAATGCGCCTTATAGGTTAGCTTAAAACAGAGGAATCTATTAATGAAGTGGAGCGATTATGAATAGACTACTCTGTTCTGTATTTTTCAATATCGGTACCATCGACATTCTCAAGCCATAGGCCGTAAGATTGGTAGGTGCTAAAAAATCTGCTCACGCACGAAAGGAGGAGACCAATTAACGATGATAAGAATTACCAAGTGAGGATTTTGCTCCACAGGGTAGCCGAAATCGCTTTCAACGTTGCATTATCGGTAATGCGTGTAGAACGACCAAAAGACCAGAAACTGGAGAAAAAATTTTAATGCAGCACTACTGACAAATTTACGGAAAAAAACCGCTGACTAATCTAATTACTTTAGTATAGTTAATACGCCTGCAAGTTCTAAAATTTGAGGGCAGTGGAACGCCATCACAATGTTGAGCTGATGGGTCACTCCCAACTTATGGGCATATTTGCTGTGGTTTGTCGACAGTTTGTGCTCCGGAGAATATGATGGGGAGGACATAGACTCCTACTGATAATATGATTTTGATGTTTTTGATGTTTTTTAAATTATTAACGCTAAAATGATTT